TGTGGGGCACTTCTACTCTGTCACTTAGAGTCATTATGAGTCAAGCAGACTTGACAGCATCCAACAACAATGATGGTAATGATCATGGAATAATAGTAATAATGGTAGGTCCTTGTGGCCTTGCACCCAGGAGTTCACCCAAAGGCCAAAATATATGACAATGTTGGTACTTAGTAATGTCCACAGCTTAGAGGACTCCTGGTGTTGTGCTGTAGGATAAGTACTGGACTGCTTACCACAAGGTCAGCAGTTCAAACCCACCAGCAACAACTCAGACACTTTATGGAGTTTCCAAGAAGTGACTGGTGGGTTTGAATCACTATTCAATCTGTTGCCTCCTACTAAAGAAGAAAATCTGTGATGACTTCTAAGAGGAGGAAGAATTTAATTAAAATTAGCATGGTTGTCATTAAATTAACAATCAGAAGTTTCTAGGTCAGTTAAGCCTTTCTCCCTGAAAAAATAAGGTCTTTCCAAGCTCATTACTGTCCTGTGTTATCACATTTTGATTTGTCATACATGTTACCAGCTACTGTTCAGTCAGTTCTGGCTTATAGCAACCCCATGTGTGTCAGAGTAGAACTGTGCCCCAAAGGCTTCTCAGTAGATGAGTTTTCACAAGTAGATTCCACTCATGGTGCCCCCGTGTGTGTCAGAGTAGAACTGTGCTCACAGGGTTCTCAGTGAATGATGCTTCATAAGTAGATTCCACTCATGGTGCCCCGTGTGTGTCAGAGTAGAACTGTGCCCCACAGAGTTCTCACTGGCTGGTGTTTCAGAAGTAGATTGTAAGGCCTTTCTGCCAAGGCTCCCTAGGGTGAACATGAACTCCCAACCTTTCCGTTAGCAGCTGAGCCCTCTGACCCTTTACTCCACTCAACCACTCCGTCATATGTGTTACTCACTGGAAGAAGGAGCATTTGAAATATACCTACTCCTCACATATTTACTGTCCAACATTTCACATTTACAACATTTAGTAAAAAAAATCTACTGACTATTTTGTGCATTTACGACATATGTCTGGCAACAACGAGTGTAGAGGTGAGAGGCAAGAGAAACGCTGGTTGTGGAGGTGAAGAAGGTCTTGTGTCAACGTGGCTGGTCCATGGTTCTCAATGGTTTGGCACTTATGTAATGATATCATTTGGCAGTTATGAACGATGAAATTTGGCAATTATGTAATGATGTCATTGGCAGTTTTATAATGATGTCATTTGGCAGATAGGTAATGATGTCATGGCAATTGTATAATGATTTCACTTGACAGTTTTGTGGTGCTGTCATTTGACAGTTGTATCATGATATCACTTGGCATTATGTAGCATAGTGGTTACGAATCAGGCTGCTAACCTCAAGGTCAGCAGTTCAAAACTACCAGCTGCTCCGTGGGAGAAAGATGAGGCTTTCTGCTCCTGTAAAGGTTTACAACCTCAGAAAACCTATACAGGGTTGCTATGAGTCAGAACCGACTCCACAGCACGTAACAACAACAACAACAAATGATAGAAAAAGGTCAAAATGGATGTCAGAAGAGACACTGAAACTTGCTCACCAGCATACAGATGCTAAGGCAAATGGAAGAAATGAGGAAGTCCAACAGCTGAACAGAAAATTTCAAAGGTCAGCTCAAGAAGATAAAGACAAATACTACAACAAACTGCAAAGATCTGGTATAAGTCCAGCCGGTGTCTCCCTCTGTTGTGCATAGGGTCACTATGAGTCGGAACTGACTCAACGGCACCTCACAACAACAACATCAGAAGGAGAGAGCAAAGGGTGACTTGGACTAGGCCTGAAGCAGTAGGGCTGGAGGCGTTGGATTGGGGTGACATTCTGGAGAGAGGTCTGATGGGACATTGGTGCTGTAGAAATTTAGAGGCAGAAATCCCCAGAGCACAGCTGATCAGAGGTGTGACTTGCTTCATATGAAGGTAGGCTCACTCAAGTGGTCTCCTAAAGGGAGGAATGGGCCACAGGCATTACTCCCTGGTGCCCCATTCAAAGGCCTAAAGATGGCGGCCCTGGAAACCCAGTGGGACAGCTCTACTCTGTGAGTAGGGATTAGAACTGACTGACAGCAGTATAATCATATATAGCCTTGGGAAGCCAACGGGGAAGCTCTCTGTCCTACAGAGTTACTACTTGTACCTTTGATCTGGATTGATTCATGCACTGATTCATAATTGATTCCCATTATGTATTTTCTCAAACAGTAATCGTGTTTGTTGATGGAATCCTGGCATGGCACTGTAGGATAAGGTCGGTTTGAACAGCAAGATCAGTGGTTCAAACTCACCCACCACGCCTCAGAAACCCTATACAGGGTTGCTATGGGTCAGAACGAACTCGACAGAACTTATGAACAATACTCCTGTTTAGGGGGCAGTGGTGATTCGTGGTAGAATTGTCTCCATCCATGCAAGATAACAGAGTTTGATTCTTGGCCCGTGCACCTCATGCACAACTAATATCCATGAACCTGTCAGTGGAGGCTTTTGTGTTGCTGTGAGGATGAACACTTTTCAGCGGAGTGTCCAGACTAACACAAAGTAGGAAGAAAGGTCTGGTGATATAATTCTGAAAATCAGTCAGTGAAAATCCTAGGGTACCACAAAAGTCTAACCTACAGACCCTCACAGGGATGGCACAGGATGGGTAGTCTTTCATTCCACTATGCATGGACTCACTATTAGACAAGGCCAACCCAGCAGCAGCTAGCAGAACATAACATAGGATGATGTAACACAGCACATTATGGTATATTACATGGTGTAATATACCACAAACTGTAGCAGAATGCAATATAGCATGAAGTAACAGAACATGATGTAAAGTAATGGAATGTAGCATCATACATCATGGGAAGTGACATTACATGATGTAGCATAACACAACGTAATGTCACATAGCATGATGTACCAGCGTAAGTAGCATAGCATAATGTAACATAATGTGATGTAACGTAATGTAATTTACAATAGCAAATAAGGTAACGTAACAGCATAAGTAATGTACCATAAGGTAATGTAACATAACATGATGTAACATAATGTAATTTACAATAGCACATAACATAACCTAACATAGCATAAGTAAAGTATCGTAAGGTAATATAACATAATGTAATTTACAATAGTGTAATGTAACATAATGTGATGCAATGTAACGTAATTTACAATAGCAAAAAAGGTAACAGCATAATGTACCATAATGTAATTAATGTGACAAAATGTAATTTACAATAGCACATAACATAACCTAACATAGCAAAAGTAAAGTGCCATAAGGTAATATAACATAACATAATTTACAATAGTACATAATGTAACATAACAGCATAATGTAATGTACAATAACAATGTAACAAAAGCTAACATAATGTGATGTTGCATTTAACATAGTGTAAGTAACAACGTAATTTAACGAAATGTAACATAACAATATTATTTTTTTAAAAAGAAGAAGAATGCTGAGAGAAATATGTTGTTGTTGTTGTTGTTAAGTGCCATCAAGTTGGTTCCAACTCATGGCGATCCTGTATAGAGTTTCCGAGGAACAGCTGGTGGGTTTGAACTGATGACTTTGTATGTAGTTCGCAGTCCAGTGCTGATCCCACAGAGAAATATAGGAAGCAGAAAACAACACACCAATTTTATCTAGTATCCTTTTATTAAGCCTGAAGCCTTGCCCCATAAAGAGTACAAATGGAGCAAATATGCAGTCCCTCCTTGGGTAGTCATTTTCATCCCCAGAAGATAAGCCCGGGTCATCTTTGTGTGACATCACATCTGTGCTGAGCTCCTTTGTCACACACCTTGTCTTGTCCACACAGGGTACCCAAAGCAAAGGAGCACCACTCCCCGGAACGGGTTTCCTCCCAAGCCCGACCTGCAGGCCCGCGAGGCTGAGCGGCAGTTTGTTCAGCGGCTGAAGGACAAGTGTGAGGAGCAGTCCCGGCAGCTCAGCCTGGTGCGTGCTGAGCTCAGGAGAGCCATCCGCGGCTTCGGTGCCCTGGCCGTGTCCACCCAGCACTTCTTCCGGAAGGTAAGGCTGCTCTCGGCAACCACTCCTGAAGGTCTTGTCGTCTGAGTGGTGGGCGGTGATGTGTATAAGGCAGTCCTGGTGGTGCAGAGGTTAAGCACTCCGTTGCTAACCACAAGATTGGCAGTTCTAACTCACCAGCTGCTCAAGGTTGAAAGATGAGGTGATATGCAATCGATCAAGATGGGCAGCCTTGGGAACTCCATGGAGCAGTTCTCCTCTGCCCTGTGGGGTCACTATGAGTAAGGCTGGACTCGGTGGCAGTGGGTTTTATTAAGTAGCTTTGGTTTTAGTCCTGTTTATACCTCTAACTCAGCACGTTGCCTTGGGCAAACAGCTTCACTTATCTGAGCCCCTGAGGACGCATCACTAAACCAGTTTTAGGTGCTTCTTGGAATGATAGCGAGATGCTGGGTATTCTGTGATGGGACTGACTTTCCTAACACAAGTTCTCCTCACTCCAACTGTGTTTATTAATCACACTCCTCTGCCAGGTTGTTGAGGGAACTCAGGTGGTACAGTGGTCAAGTACTCAGGTTCGAAGCCACCAGCCGCTCCCTGAAAGGAAATGAGGCAGATGCCTTCCATAGAGATATACCATCTCAGAAACCCTAGGGAGCACTTCTGCCGTGTCCTATCAGGTCACTCTGAGTCCATGTTGGCTCCACAGCAGTGGTTGTTGAAAGACACAGTGGGCTAAGCACTGGGCTGCTAACAGAAAGGGCAGCGGTTTAAACCCACCAGTGACTTTGTGGGGAAAGGAGGAGGTATCCTTCTGTAAAGATGACAGCCTTGGAGACCCTACGGGGCAGTTCTCTGCCCTATTGCCTCACTATGGGTCAGAACTGACTCAGTGACCGAGGTTTGGGATTGGAGTTGGGGGTTGTGCTTTTCAAAATGTGTGCAGCGTGTCCTTCAGCCACCTAGAATGTCTTGGGGACAACTTTCCTTCCCACCGGAATGACGTCAGGTCCCTCGGGGCTTCCTTCCACCTCCTCCCTCAGAGGAGCGCCATTCTTGGGGGCTTCAGGTTGCTATGACTGTTGTGTTTCTAGGGCCTGCTGTTCCTATCAGACCTCCAGGTGCCCTGGAATCTATTCTGACTCATGGATGTCCCGTGTGTGTGTGAGAGCAGAACTTCATGCCACATTCGGCAGTTCAAACTCACCAGCTGCCCCATGGAGTATGGCTGTCTGCTTCCTTAACGACGTGCAGCTTTGTAAATCCTATGGGGCAGTTCTACTCTGCCCACCCTTTATGAGGCGGAATCCATTCCACATTCCACAACATCGACAGCAGTGGGGTTTGTTTTTTGAGGGGAGGCTTGGAGGGGGGGAGAGGGCAGAACTTTTGCAGGTAGATTGCTGATGGCATTGGATGTATATTGGAGGGAAGTCATAATACATACACACAATGGCTCTAGAGTTAGCCCCAACTTGTGGCAACCCTGTGTGTGTCTTAAGTACAACTGTGCTCTGCAGGTTTTCAAAGGCTAGTTCTTCAGAAGTAGATCTCTAGGCCTTTTTCTGGATGGACTCAAAGCTCCACACAGTCTGTAGGGTAGTAACTGAGCGTGTTACATGTTTGCACCCCCAGGGACTGCAATTATGGGACATGACTAGGGAAACAGACTCCGAGATCCAGATAAGAACTGTCATTTCTGCCCAGTGCTTCCCAATTCTGGGGGGAGCAGGTGTGAAGGTGGTCAGCTTTCCCACCTGCAGGGAATCCAAGATACCGCATTTAGGGGTCAACTCTTGCCTCTCACTTCTCTTGGGCTCCAGGCAGCTCTGCACAGCAGGACCCTCAACCACAGCCTTGACAGACCTGCTGACACCCACAGCCCCAGACCTCAGGTGGTGTAGGAATCTGAGGGACCCCCCTCCCCGCGGGACTCACGCTTCTCAGGGTTCCAGTGAATCATTGTCTTTCCTCACTGCCCGATTCCTGGGAACCCTGCTCTTTTGCGCCCCCTGGTGTCGAATATGTGAAACAACACACCACAGTCCTGTTGTATAAAGTAGGCGCTTCACCTTCTAGCACCAAGTTTTATACACGCTCCAGTTAAGGGTTTGTTTATTTACGTCTTATTTTTAACAAGATGTGGCTGTAGGATCAACATTGAACTGTTAACTGCCAGATTGGCTGTTCAAACCCACCAGCCGTCCTAGGAAACCCTAGTAGGGATCACTATGAGTCAGAACCAACTCGCTAGCACTAAGATTATCCTTGTTGTTGTTAGGTGCCATGCCATCTATGAGTACCGACTCATAGCGACCTTATGCACAGCAGAACGAAACACTGCCTGATCCTGGGCCAGCCTCACTACTGTTGCCATGCTTGAGTCCATCAATGCTGCCACTCGGCCAATCCATCTCGCTGGGGGTCTTCCTCTTTTTATCTGACCATCCACCTTACCAAACATAATAGCCTGCTCCAGCGACTGGTCCCTCCTGACAATATGTCCAAAGTATGAAAGACGAAGTTTAGCCATCTTGGCCTCTAAGGAGCACTCTGGCTGCACTTCTTCCAAAACGGATCTATTGGTTCTTTTGGTAGCCCATGGCACTTTCAGTATTCTCCTCCAACATCATAACTCAAAGGCATCAATTCTTCTACAGTCTTCCTTATTCACTATCCTGCTTTCACATGCATATGAGGTTATTGAAAATACCATGGCTTGGGTCAGGCGCACCTTAGTCCTGACATCTTTGCTGACATATTTGCTCTTCAACTTTTAAAAGGTCTTGTGAAGCAGATTTGCCTAATGCAGTACGTCGTTTGATTTCTTGACTGCTGCTTCCATGAGTGTTGATAGTCAATCCAAGAAAAATGAAGTTCTTGACAACTTCAGTCTTTTCTCCATTGATAAGAATGTTGTTTATTGGTCCATTGGTGGTGGTTTATTTTTTTTATTACTTTGCATTGGGTTTTTGTTATCATTAACTTTATGAAAGTAATACTGGATGATCTTTTTCATTAACGAGTCCTGGTGGCCCAGCAGTTAAGGACTCAGAAGTTAACAGCAAGAAGGTTGGAACTTCAACCCCACCCAGCGGCTCCGTGGAAGAAAGATCTGCTGCCATAAAGACGACACCTAGGAAACAATTTGGGGCAGTTCTGCTCTGTCATATGGGGTCATTATGAGTTGGAATTGACTCAGAGACAACAGCAGCTTTTCATTGTTTTTTACTCAAAAAATATTTAAATATAAAATGTGTAAAAATTAAATGCCACACATTTGTGTACTTTCTAAGCTTAAATAATATAATGAATAATACATTACCCTCTTACATCTCAAAGTGTATATATATATATATATATATATATATATGTGTGTGTGTGTGTGTGTGTGTGTGTGTGTGTGTATAGTATTACTTTCACTTATTTGAATTTTTATTACACAAATTTCTAAACATGAAAAGTGGGGGGAAATAACATTCAAATACCCCCATCCATATTTAACATGGATTCCTGGTGTGGCGCTGTAGGATCCGCACTGGACTGTGAACCACAAGGTCAGCAGTTCAAACCCATCAGCTTGCCCCTCGGAAACCCTATACAGGGTCACTATGAGTCAGAACTGACTCAAGGGCATTTAATGACCACAACATTTAACATGTGCTGACAGGTTTTTCATGTTCACTTCCTCTGGGCTTTCTTGTTGATCTTATTTAGGAGCTAAACCCACTGCTGTTGAGTTGATTCGAACGGTCAGTGACCCTATACGACAGTAGAGCTGCCCCTAAGGTTTCCAAGATGGTCGATCTTGGTTCGATGGTACTGATGCAGCGGCACCCACAACACCACCCAACTACACTGTGATGATGGGGTTCACGTATTTACAGTAGTGGAGCTCACTTTAAGCAGACATGCTATGTACCAGCCACAGTTTAGAAAATAGACATGGATTATGCCCTTTGGGAAATTCATTTAAATGACCCACTTCTGTGGAGACATTCAATGGAGTTCCTGAGACATCCACTGCAAAGCGGACCAGAGACGGCTGTGGTGTGGCTGTCTGACGAGCCTGCTCCTGGCCCTTACCCCTGTTGCTGCCTGGTTTCGGAGAGCCTTGAGGATTCTGCTAAAAAGTACTGCTACAAAATGATAAGAAATCTTTACTCAACAAAGATGCCAAAACATGAAGCTATTGACTGTTTCTTCACACATCTTCCATCTAGGTCTATACTCTTCTGAAGGCTGTTTCCAGCTCTCTAACCCTTCGTGGTGTGGCACTGTGGGTTAACAGGCTGAACTGTAAAGTCCATTTGAACCACAAGGTCAGCGGTTCAAGCTTACCAGCTACTCCTCAGAAACTCTCTACAGGGTTGCTATGAGTCAGAACTGACTCGACGGCACTTAACAACAACTCTTCCTCTGGAGTCCTGGTCTGGCACTGTCAGAGAAGCATTAGACTGCTAACCACAAGGTTGATGGTTCAAAATTCACCAGCCACTCTTGGAAACCCTCTACAGGGTCGCTATGATTGGAACCAACTCCGTGGCACACCGCAACAACAAAAATGCTCGCCTGAAGAATTCTCTGCTCTTTACTTGCTACCAGATCAACAAGGCTGTTTTGGCATCTTTAACGATCCCAGAAACTTTGCCTTTGAAACATTCTTTTGAGTTTGGGCGACAAAAAGAAACCTGAAGAGCCAAGCTCAGGGCTGTAGGGTGGGTGGGGTAAGCGGTCCCAGTGAAATTCTCTCAGCACAGCCCTTGCCACCCTGGAAGGAGGAACAAGTGCCTTGTCATGAAGGAAAATAATTCCTTGGTGCAACTTTTCTGATGTTTTTCTCAGTAACGTAGTTTGCAATGTTCTTAAAACTTTGTAATAAGACCCTGTGATCATCCTGTGTCTTTTTAGAAAATCTATTAAGGTTATACTTTGGAAATCCTAATTAAAACTGTCCCATAGCATTTCTGAGATGAACTCTCAGTCTTGAATTCATCTTTGAGATCGTCCCGTTTCCCCTTGAAAAGATTCACCCATCTAAA